GGGAGACTATCTCAGAAGCCTTCAGCCTGCCGACTCCACCCCAAGAGCTGTATGCCTTCTGCCTTATTTAACTACACTTTCACTGAACTCGGTTTCTGGACGTGAATGCTTCTGTTTAGTTTTTAACATCCACGCATATACACTCCATCACCCAAAACAGGGCATGAAGTTTTCCTTGAAATTACTAAATGTGTTGTCCACAGCCACCTGGAAAGAAGCTTTCTCCTTTTATTAAACGAAAGAAAGAAAGAAAGAAAGAAAGAAAGAAAGAAAGAAAGAAAGAGAAAGAAAAGAAAAAGGAAGTCCAATTTCCATCCCCCTGCCATCCCGCCGATTCAAATATTCATCGGGCAAACGTTTATTTCATGCCTACTGTGGGGAAGAGACTGTTCCTAGGGCTGTTGAAGTACAAACAGGACTTGTTTTGTTCATTCTAAGACACGGATTATCTTCACATTTTACCATGAGGCATGCTTCCTTTGTCACTGGTCCAAAACGAACAGTGCATCTCATAATGAATGGGCAACTCACATTAGGTAAAATAGGGTGCCAGATACAGACCCCACTCTCCAGCGGCTTATAGAAGTTACAGTTACCGTGCTGGTAGCCAGTTTCCCTCACCTCAGTGGGAGGAAACCCGGGGTTTAGCTTGAAAAGGCTGAACCCGCATTTTGCAAGAGATCGAACTGCCCTTCGGAGTAAACCGCTGTGCCTCCAAAGCAGCACAGCCAACACACCTTGAAAGAAGAGTGAGGCAGAACAAGAACATACTAGTGAGGGTTCAGGAACCTCTGAAAAGATTTCTTCTAGGAAACACTCCCAAAGGCTAAAGGTGAGAGCCGGTTTCTTTCCTTTCCTATTTGACTCCTTCTGCCCTTACAAAGTATGGTTTTACTCTTTATGAGGAAACATAAATGGGGAAAAAAAAAAAAAGTCCTTCCAGAAGGCAAGGAAAATTTGGGGGGGGCAATGAAATCTTTTTTTCCACAGCAAGTAAATACTGGGGTAAAGGAGTTGCCACCCGAACTCTCAGGCTCAAGAAAACTGGAGAAGCCGGCACGAGAGCAAGTCCTGAACTACCGTAGCAAAAGGCGATCATCGTGCATGCTTCTAGCAGAAAAGCTTAAGGGTCTTTACAGATACTGGAGAAGCTACAGACACCAGCCGGGGGCAGGGTCCTAACCTCCCAGCAATTATAAATGAGCTCTTTACACCCGTGGGATAAGCTAATGCGAAGGAAAGATGCCTAAGAGCACCAAGTTGCTAACAGCAAAATTACTAGTGAGGCAGCCTGTTTAAGAGAAAGGAGGCGGCACCCTGTTGTCACAGAGCAGGGAAGGCCCAGAGCACAAAACGCAGAGCAGCGTGTCCCAACTTCAGTACAACAGGCAAGCTGGCCACCATGCCGAATTCAGAGACTTTGCACCATCTAACTTTCAGCTTTCCCACATCTGGCGCTTGATCCAGCCTGATCCAGCTGCATTCCTGAGTATCAGCTCACAGGTGTTTCTACTGATGCTTTTCCCTGTTGGGGAAAAACAGTGCGCTCGGAACTTGGGGTGGGGGCTTGCGCGGGGGTGTACGGTGCAGAGGTAGAGAGACTAGTGGCCAGACAGACCTGCCAGAGATTTAAAAACGCACCACCTGGGAAAGAGTGTTGGGCCTTGCACGCCCCACTCCACGGAGGCTGCGGGGTTCCGAGGATGCGTTGGCAGGAAGGCGAGTGTGTGTGCTGACCCAGAAGGAATGCAGCCCCTTATTCCTCGAGCTCACAGAAAGCCTTCCAACAACCTGATGTCTTCCCACCAGGGATGTCAGGGCCACTTAAGGCAAAGTTTGATCCCTAGAGCAGGGAGGAAAACCTTCTTTTTCTTCTCTGTTGTGTGTCAGCTTGCCCTGCTGAATTTCTTTGTTTCCTAACTGAATCCCATCAGCGTGGCTGACTGCCTTGCTTGCTTGAAATGAACTGAGCTAAGAAACAAGATTCTCAACAAGGCTGCATTCTCCAGGATGCTGAGAAGGGCAGAGTTAAGCTCAGCCCCTGCAGAGTGGAGGAAAATAAAATCCTATTTATTGTCTTACAAGAACATCAGAAACAAAAAAACAAGAAGTCTCTCCTGCACCCAGTTCAAAGAAGCCTGGCATACGCCATACCCGTGTTGAGGGGATAAATGCCTCATGGCAAAGCCCCGTGGCTGTTCATCTTCTCTTAAATGAGGAAGGCAGCATGCCAGAGCATGGAAGAACTCCAGGTGGGAACGTCAGATTCCTTGTTTATGAAGTAAGTGGACTGGATATGATGACCTGTATGGTCCAGGAGGACCTCAGACCTTCTCTGAAGCCGAGAAGAAAACCATCTCGGGGCAAATGGAACACAGTCTCAAACAACCCATCAGTCAAATCCGCCAAGACCTGACGAGCTATTAAAATAAGATCTACCCCTCCCTCCTATAAGCAGTAAGCAGGTGGCTTGCTGACTTAGTAGGCAGCTACTACAGTGGGCAAGGACATCCGTCCCAGGGAAGTAGCCTGAGCACCCTCTAGAGCACTGCCCTACGCCATGGGGTCAACCTTCCACCTTCAAATTCCTCCCCAAAGCCTGCCTCTTCAGCCCAATTCCGGGGAATGTCTCTCATGGACCTAGTTGCCACAAAACCCTCAGTGGCCAGAATTTTGGTAAGTGGGAGTGGAGGGAGGAGACTTGATGACAAGTTCAGGTTGGTGAGTTCCAAAGACTCTGAGCATAAAGACACGGATTCTCTTCTGGCAACTCCTTAACGTTAACTTGGCCTTGAGTTCCCACAGCCCCCTCCTTGGCTGGTTAGTTCTCAAATGACGCCATGACTCTCCAGGAAATCATCGATTAGTGTTTGGTCAGTGTTTAAGAAAAAAATTTTAATTAGATTGTAATTTGCTCGAGGTAAGTATTTTTGAGTATGGCGTCTAGCACAGCCCTTTGTCCTCCAGAAATGTCAAATGAATGGATACATAAATCAATGAATGACCAGATACATTGGATTTCAGCTCCTGACTAGGAAGGCAAGGCAGATCAATCACCTCCTCCACACTCTGAGTTCCCAAGCTTTCCATCACTCTTCCCTTATAAGTTGAGCCTGACGGAAGTCACAGGAACATAAAGCATCAGCTAATATATTACTTTTCAGAGCTTGCTTTAATATTGTTTCCTGGATTTGCGCAAATATCAGCGGGCCGACTTCTAAAAGTGAGTGTGCTCCTTTACAATATCTGAAGAGGATCCAGGAAATCGAAACCTGGACCTTTGGTTATCCCTCGAAAGGATTCTTTGGGCTCTCGGCCATATCTCAACAGATTCCTTCTGCCCCGGTCAAACCGCAAAAGGCTTCTTGTCAGGATTTCTGAGAGATTTTCTTTTCTCTGTCCCAAATGCACCTTTGGGAAGGAATCTCAACCCCATTTGTGGAAGAAAAAGCTTGTTGTTAACACAGTATGGGGCTGTGCACCCAAAGACGCTCCAGTGGGAGGTCTGCCGGCTCAGCTGGGCTCTCGGCACCCCTCGAGGAAGCAAGGGCAAAAGTACTCCCGGACGATGGAAGGGCCACAGAGTCCGCACACGTGACCTCAGATGCCTTCTACCCTTTCCCTTCCGGTTCATTTAAAACGGCAACCAGAAAAAAAGGAGGTGCCTCAAAGACAGGCCAGAAATTGCACCCTAGACCAATCTTCCTAGAAGTCCCGCAGGCCCCCGCCAAGGGCAATGGAGGCTGAGATGTCTCGTGCACAAACAAAGCGCACAAGGCGTATCCGTCCTCAAGACGCTATCAGGGGCAAAGGGTCTGAGTTCTCCCACATCCGTCCTCAGTCACGAAGACAATCCTGAGAATATGCATGTCACGGGTACAATTTCCTTCAACTTGCATGTGCAGGTCACATGCATGAGAATCGGACACAGCCCTTGGCCCGTGCAAGAAGGCCTTTCTGTATGCTTTATTATGTTTGGTTAGTGAAAACATGGAATAGGTCACCCTGAGGGGCCAAGGACCCACGTTACCTACCGTTCTGCTCTTCCTGGTAAGAATTCTGCAAGAACGCCCATCTCAGAGACACGCGGCAGGCATCTCGAGAAAGGCACTGCTCAGTGTCCGGCTGAACCTTCCTTCAGCAAAGCGGGCCTGGTCCCACAGGCAGAGCCAATTCTCGGCATCCGCATGAATTAGAAGGAGGCGGCCTTCCAAACGGAGGTGGTCGACATTTACCGTTCCCAGGGGAGACAGGCTCAGGGTGTCTGGAGCTGTTCAGGCCTTCTATGAGGCTGCCTACAGGGGGCCATCCCTGAAAAGCCCCCTGAGATCTGCTCCCCAGACTGCATCCAGCACGTCACCTGGGGCTGTAAGGGCTGATCTGGAATTAACCCGGAGTGGTTTGGGAAGAAGGGAGAGAATTCCCACTACTGGAGGGAGATCACTTTTCTGTGTCAGGAAGGACCTGATGGGGACCCCTCTGAATGCCCCAGCGGCTGGACTCCCCTCCCCAGGGGCTGGGGGGTGCAGGTGGGCAGGAACCTGTGCCGCATTTCAGAGCCTGGGCAGAGAGGTGCTGACACCTAGGGGTGGATGGAGAAAGAGCCAGTGTGGAGGGAAGGCCAGCCAAGCAGCTGGTGGGATCTCCTGGGTCCAGCTCCTGGGAGCATCCAAGGATGGGTGTCCCTCCCTAACTCTTCCCCCTCTGTCCTCAAGTCCTCCACCTTCCACATCTAGGGAAGGTCCCCAAAAACCTATCCAGGAATCCCTCAAACAGAAGGGCAGAAGCCAAGTTTGACCTCAGTGAAAACAAGCCCGTTCTACACCTTCTCCAGATTTCCATGGGCCTGAGAAAAGCAGCCATTTTGGGGAGAATGAAGGGAGAGAATATAAAGTTCCAAAAAGAGGCACCCACAGGCTCTCTGCTCCCCAGGGACACAGACCAGGGGGAAGCAGGGACTAGGCCAGACCTCCCAGGGGTGGCTGGGGAAGTGTTCTTACCAAACTCGCTCGCACAGAGATGTTCAATGATGGCTTCAGATTTTAACTCGTTGTCACATGGAGGACACACAGTTGTGCCTAGGAAGGGAAAGGAGGAGAAAGAGGAGCCATGAGTGACAGAGATTGTGATCTGGAAGGAGCCAGCCCTGGGGAAGAGGTCAGCCCTAAGACCAGGCTGAAAGTAATTAAAGGTCTTCTGAAATTTCTGAAGAGCAACTGGAGAATCAGAGTCCTGGGGCCCTGGACCCAATGCCAGACAGACACAGCCTCTTTCTTTCTTTCTATCTTCCTTCCTTCCTTCCAAGATTTTATTTATTTATTTGACAGAGAGAGAGGGAGAGAGAGCACAAGCAGGGGGAGCACCAGAGGAGAAGCAGGCTCCCCGTAAAGCAAGAAGCCCGATGCGGGGCTCAATCCCAGGACCTCAAGATCATGGCCTGAGCCAAAGGCAGACGCTTAACAGACTGAGCCACCCAGGTACCCCCAGACACCATTTCTTGAAAACCTGGGGGCTTGAACTGTGGAATACGGCACAACCATTTAAACCAACCTTATCGGGGCGGCGTGTGAACTGTGGCTAGACGGGGAGTGCTCACCTATTCCAGCCGTTTGCTTCTGGTTCTTTCTCCCCTAGTCCTTAACTATCCCTCTCCGATCCCTGCCCCCTTTCCCATTCCCAAACTTCCAAAGGGACAGCAGATCAATCTGACCTGCTCCCTAGGAGCCAAGAAGGAAACTCACCAGACACACCAACTCAAGCTGTCGGCCTGAGCACCCCTCTCCAAAAGGGCTATTGCAGTGCGAGTTCCTGCCTGCGCTGGGGTGGGAGGCAGGAGCAGCTGGGTGGGGCTGGGGCTGGGGGCAGCAACAGGCGAGAGCTGCCAAATGGGAGAGCCGGGAGGGAGGGGGGAGCAGGAGGACCCTCTGAAGGCATTTTCACAACACTGTGAAGTGCTTTGAAGAGGAGGTGTGTGTGTGTGTGTGTGTGTGTGTGTGTGTGTGTGTGAGGCATGAGGGCCGCTGTGGGCACAGGGGAAGCAGACTTCTGAGGCCAGGGACAGAGGCCTCCTCCAGGCCCAAATGCTGCTGGAGGGGGATTCCCCCAGGGGGTAGAGTGCCTCTGTGGGAGGACAGGGAAAAGGCGGGACAGTGGACTCCCCAGACCATCCCCTCCATCATCCATCGGCCACTAGGAGTTTAATCCATGATCTAGGAAATCTAGCACATTCGAAGGTCACTCCACCCCGGCAAAGCACGGAGGGGCCAAGCCAGGGTGGCGCTGAGAAGCAGAGGAAAGTCACCCCGAAGTACAATGGTAAAATCGAAGGCCCTTTGTCCTCCTCCTCCTCCTCCCCTGTCCTTTCCAGTGGCCTCCGTGGCAGAGTCTCCTGTCCGTGATGTCCCCTGGGGCTCATCACCATCACCAAGGTGGTAACACTATGGAGGGAGCTGCACAGCCCTGCCAGGCCAGCGCTGCCCCCCCAGGACATACCCAGTCCTCAGCTGGTCACCCCCACTTCCAAGCAGGGTCCCCCTGTGGCCCAGCAGGGACCACACCCTTTCATCTTTCTTAGGATTCCTCTCCCACCTTGGCTCCATACCCAGGGCCAAACACCATCTAATTCTCAGTGCGGCAAGAGCCACAGCCATACTCCAAGCAGAAGACTGTGTGGCTCTTTTGGCCCAGAATTTGGAAATTTGCTTTTCAGCCAGAACTTGAAATTAGGTCCTGGAGGTAGTTTTTCTGACAAAGGGAAAAACTTACCCAGAATTTTGCATTATGGTTCTTGCTTCCTTGGGGAGAAAAACAGGGAAAGGAGGTCCTGAAGTATGGGAAGGACCATGTTACCTATCCCAGGAGGGTGAACCGGGCTTTGGGATTTTCCTTGTTTTCTTTTTCTTTTTTTTTTTTCTTTTTTTTTTTTTAAGTAGAAGTTACCACACTGTAAGTTTCTATGAATATAATCTTGACTGAACAAGTAGCAGGGCCCCGGCAGTGAGACTATCAAACACTGTCCCCAGGGCACACTCCCATCACCCCTCTGGACCCTCTGAGTTCCCTGACAGGCTCTGTAGCCAAAAGGGGCATTTTCCTCAGGCCCACCAATGAACATTTGACCTTCAGCGCCTCTCAAGGTAGAAACAGCTCACAGGGTGAGCTAACCCCCATCTTGACTTTTCTTATGGCCGACTCTGGAGTAGCTTGATCCAGGGAAAGGAGGAATGTGTAAAGCAATATTAATCTATGCCCCCTCTGGTGTGTCCTTGGGGCCCTGCAGGCCACCTCTGTAGGAGAAACCCACCATCCATCTGAGAGGTAGAACTAAACTGCTGTTTGAAGGGAGATTTAAAATAATGTTTAAAGCAAGGGAACCCAAAACTGAAGAACTTTGTGTTTCATTAATATTTTAGGGGGTGGAGAGGAGATGACAGTCCAACACTAGAGTCACGATTAAGTGATTTTTTAAAAATCAGGACACGTGCACACAGCGCTCTCTCTCGCTCTCTCTCTCATACACACACACACACAAATAAACACACACAATTACACACAAACTTTCTCCCTCACACACACAGCAAGTCTTCCCTGGCCAGCTCCTTCACATCCTGAGATGAGACCTTCTGGAGCCTCCCGGAAGACAACGAGAGCACCGTGGGCCCTGCAATCCATGACTAGAACAGCCAGGCTGATCTAACACGCAGCACATCTGAACAACAAAAAATTTAAACTAAAAATATAACCTCGTTTCATACAATTTCAATCAGTGAAACCTGGCTGGAAGGGGAAACCACCATTTCCTGGCCGGGGAATGGGTAGATCTAACGTAAGCGCAAGATGTAGAAAGAACTTTCCTGGAAAGTTGCTAAAGTTATGCTTTTTCTATGCCACACAGGGACAGTTGCTGATGTAGCTGGGGTGTCAGACTTTTGGAGGGAAAAGTATCTTTTGACTTTTCTCTCATTATCAAGTCGATCTTTACTAACACAAGGATCTTAAAGTGTGCCCAATACCCCCAAAACATGCCCAATTACGTATAGAGCATGCCAAGATATGCATTATGCCTTGAAAATTTGGCTTTAATTTCAAAGGCTAAAGAGAAGGGAGAATAAAAGTAGTACCTATGTATTTATTCTCATCCCAAAGTACCAGTTCCCATTCTGGAACCCCAAGCCATAAGCTCATGAGGACTGGTAGTTTGGTCTGTCTCAACCTGCCCCTACACACACACACACACACACACACACACACACACACACACACACACACACACGGCCCTCCCACCTCCAAGCTCAGCTGGCAATGGCCATGTGGCCTCAGAGGAAGTCATTCGGGGATCCTGTCGGGCTCCCTCCCACCAAAGGGGAGGAATGGGTGCTCTCTCCTCTCTGGGCAGAACCTCTCACCAAAACCAATGAGGGGAGAACCAGTTCCCAAGCCGCACACCTGATGGGTCCTCTCAGGGCTCCTCTCTATTTGGGAGCTGGCCTTGGGAGGGTGCTACCCAGGCACTCAGGGGCTGGAGGGTAGGCGAGGGGAGGATGGTACCAAGGCCCAGACTCAGGAGGGGGCAGTCCGGTGGAACAGCAGCCCAGGAGTCAAAGGCAAGAGAGCAAATCTAGGCTATCCCCCCACTCCACTCCAGCCTTTCAGGGCAGCGGGGTGTTGGGTTGGGTGGGAGGATTCTTCCCGTTTTATCCGTAGGCACCTCAGCCAGTCCCCCATCTTCCCCGTAAAAGGTGTTCCCTCAAAGGTCTCCATGTGCAAGGGCTGTTCCCAAAAGACAGCTGGGGGTGGAGCAGAGGCCTGTGGAGCAGAGTGGGCTCATCTCCGGGCGGGCCAGCGGCCAGCCAGCAAGGAAGGGGAGAAGGAAAAGCCTGTGGGCTGTAGAGGATGGCCCCACACGGGCAGAACACGAGTGCTTTGTTTGCTCTAGGTAACCGCTTAGCTCTTGCTCCAAAGGCCCGCAATTCCCCCAGAGGTTAACCCTATGCAGACACCAAGAAGTGGCCGGTGCCCCGGCCCCCCACAGCCAGACTGCCGCCTCTCTCACCCGCCAGGGTCCCAGGCCACCTGGGCCACTTTGGACCAATCTCCTCCCTCCCTAGAACACGCAGGAGCATTTGGGGCTTGCTTTCCCCATACTACCATCGTCACACTGGAAGAGTAAACTCTTCAGAGGACATCTCCCTTTTAGGCATCACTTCAGGATGAACCAAGTCAGCCAACAGCCCGACCCCCACCCTAAACCCCTTCCTCCAACCCCCTCGGGGACATGGGAGCCTATGCTCAGGGCGCCTAGGTATGGTTCCCCATTCCGGACTATAGGACTATGGACACGTCTTTCTTTCAGCCTCAACTCAGCTTCTGAAGAATTTGCTCCTTTAAGTCAAGCCACTGCACTGGATTTTTTTTTTTTCTTGTTTGTTTTGATTCGTTTTTGTTTTTGTTTTTGTTTTTGCCTCTCCGGGAGGGATTCTTTTTTCCCTTCCCCTCCAGAGCTGCCCTTTAAGTGGGAGGGGTTCTAAGAGGAAGCGCAGGCCCCCTCCATGGGGCTGTTAGGAAAGTCTCCAATTTGCGTGGCCCCACTCCCCAAGGAGAGATGAACAATGAGCTAATTGCATTTTTATCTTTCTAATTACCTGAGGATTTGTGTAAATGGGAGAAGCAGGGGGTATGCAAGAATGAGAGTACAGGCTTTCCAGCCCCCCAGCCTCCCCAACCCTGAAAAGGGTGGAGAAACAGAAATCCTGTTTCTAAACTTTTTTTTTTTTTTTTTCCTCAGCCAGTTCTGCAACCCTCCCGGAGCTACTTGGCTGAAGGACTAGCTAAGGAAAGCCCGGGGAAGGGGTAGGGGGGGATTTTTTTTAACCCTCATCCAATTTATGAAAATACACAAAGCTGCGCCTTAGCATTTTCTCGGCCTTTCTGGGCTTTCTACACTTTGGGTTTGGGGTGTTTTATGTTTTTTTTTTTCCCCCCTCCTGGGGCATCCCATCTCGGTGTTAAAAACTTCCACGGGGACTCGGTTCCCTCGCAGAGGGAACAGGCTTTGTCTCAGGTATGAAAAAGCGAGCCTGGATCCCAGTACAGCCGCTCCAGGCACCGCATCGAGCTTGCGAGGGGCCCAGGCGCAGCCGCCGCTGCCGGGCAGGCCAGCCGTGCACCTAGGTCGGCAGAGGTGCCAAGCGACACCTCGGACGAACGAGAGGCTTTTTAAAAACTCGTTCCGCACAGCTTGCGAGCGACCTCCAGGAAGCGCGTCCGAACTCCGGGGAGGAGCGGCCGGGCGGGAGTCCGAGTGGCAGGGGCTTTCCCGCGGCGGGTCCCCGGGGCCCCAGCCCGCTGGGGCTGGGGGGCTCGCGCGCGTGGGAAGGGGCGGCCTGACCTTGGGGCTTGGAGGCTTCGGTGGCATTGGGCGGGGTCATGGCGATGCAGACGTCCCCCTCAGGGAACTTGTCACACTTGAGCATCTCGGGCCAGTAGAAGCCGAAGAACTGCATGACGGGCTCGCACGAGTCGCGCACGGCCTCGCAGAGCCAGCGGCACGGGTAGATGGGCCGGTCGAGGCACACGGGCGCGAAGAGCGAGCAGAGGAAGACCTGGGTTCCGATGTGGCAGTTCTTGTTGAGCAGGGGCACCCAGCTGCTGGCCTGCTGCTTCACCTCGGCCATGGTCTCGTGCTCCAGCAGGTTGGGCAGCACCATCTTCTTGTAGCCCACGTTGTGGCACAGCCGCAGGTCCACCGGGATGTCCACGCACTGCGGCGGCTTGGTGTAGAAGCGCCCGCTCTGGTAGGAGCCGATGTCCGACTGGAAGCTCACGTAGTCGTACTCGCTGGCCGAGCCCGCGGCCAGGAGCCCGGCGGCCAGCGCCAGCAGCACGCCCGAGGCTGCCCAGCGGCGGCCCCCCCGCGCCGCGCCCGCTGCCCATGCTGGCTCGGCGCACTCGCTCCCGCGACGTCGGGGCTGCCTCGGCCGCCTCCCCGCGCGCGTCCCGCCGCAAACTTCCAGCGATCTCCGGGGACAAAAGACACCGTCCCCAGCGCTGCCCGGCTCGGCGGCCGCGCGCTCCTGCCCGGTCCTCGGCGGGTGGCGGCCCTCGGCCTGCGGCGGGAGCTCGCGCGGGGAGGGGAGCGCGCGCGGCGGCCCGAGTGCGGCCCCGGCTCCCGAGCGCGCGGCGGGCTGGCTGGCGGGCGGGCGCGCGGCACCTACTCCGGAGGCTGCAGGACTCGAGTGCCCGGTGCTCCTGTAGCAGCGCCCTCGGAGTCTCCCCGCGCAGCCAATCAGCTCCCGGCTGCGGCGAGGCGCACTCATTCCGCACGTCAGTCACCGGCGCAATTCACCAATCGCTTCGCTGGCAGGGGTGTTCGGGCGACTAGAACTCAACCCCGGTCAACACCCCTTAAAAAACAAAACCAAAATTAAATAAATAAATAGCGGAAGAAGTGGGGAAAGGAGAGAAAAAGGGGAAGAAGAGGACAGGGAGAGAAAGAGGGGATGGATTTTAAAAAGAAAAAGAGTGTGGGGTGGATAAAGAGGGGAGTTAACGCTGGTCCACTTGAGTCGGCTGGAAGAGAAGCAAGAAACCTTAACAAGTACTTACAAATCCACGCGATAATGAAGACTTTTTTTTTTTAATGCTTTTTCCTAATTTCAAGCAGCAGCCCACCAGACAAGCAGCCCACCTCTTTGGTTTTGTCCTTCGTAGCTACAATACAAAAGCAGACGGTTTGGGACAAAACCCAAACCGGGGCTCAGGAAGGCTGAACCCACCGAGGTCTGCTTTTAAATCGCCAGCCAGTCCGGCTCTCGGCTCCCGCAAAACCAAGGGGGAAGGTGTAGATGGGGCTGCTCGCACGGTTCAAAAGGCAGCACCTTTCCAGGTGGGACAACCAGACGACGGTGGCCCTCAGACAACATGGGGGACCTGGGTCCTTGCTGCAACTCTGCTCCGTGCGGGAGGAAATATTACCCAGGAAGGTGTTAGCTTCGGGAGGACGAGAAAAGAAAGTTAAAGAAAAGAAAAAGAACTACTGGAGTCCCAGCCTGACAGCACGTCTGCGTGTGCACACATAGACACATTGACATGTTTGTGGTGTAGAAAGCCAAAACATTAAAAACACATGTGCACTTATCGGTGGGGCTTGTGTAAATAACAAGCCCATCGCTCAGGCACACATGCTCCATTCAGAGCTGGCTCAGGAACCTCAGGTCAAAACCAAGGGTCCCCATCATAGCAGAAGGTGAAAAAAGTGTATTAGCAGAAACACAGCTAGGCCCTCTCCCCTAGGAAACCCCCTCCCCCAAAGAAACAGAAGTCTCCCCAGCCTCCCAACACCTGGAAATTTTTTGTATATTTTGAACATCACCCTGAGAGGAAGGGTCAAGGTCCAGAGAGCTGGGAGTATGACCATGACTGACCCCAGGGACAGGTGATAATGGCAAGCAGCCTATGAAGTTGACTAGGTCTCCACCCTGCTCATATCTTGAAGTGTGGGTGGAGGGGAGGCCAAGGATGCCGAAAACCCGCATCTGAGCAGTGTGATACCAGCCCATGTGGCAAATGAGCCACAGAGCTCAGAGCTCAAGGCAGACACCATAGGAGGGGTTGCCTCACTGGGCCAGCTTGTTTGTAAAGCTCTGGGGAAGCTTGCTTTGGACTCTGCAGACCTAATTTCTCGATGGACAGATTCCAAGTAAAACTACCAGAGTTTGTGAAGAAGTGAGGCTCTTTTCTTAAAGCACTCATGCCCATACAGAGATTATGATTCCACTGTCCACCCTGGAAGCATCTGCAATCGGTCGGCCACACTGTCATTTCTTGGCTTATGAAAGGTGCACCAGAATAAGAGGGGCAGAATGGAGGGAAAGAGATGAGAGCCACAGACCAAGACTGGATGGCCAAGGGTTAATCCCTAAACAATCGGCAATGCTCAGCCCCAGAAACTGGGGAAGACATTCCTCACAGAGAATAGACTGCAGGAGACCCGGCAACTGTGTGTCTCAATTCAAGGGGCATTTAGAGAAAAAATGCTGTTTGGTAGGGGGTCTTTTCTCTTTCCTACAGCCAGGCCCTGGGTTCCGAGCCAAATGCATCTGTTTACTCCCGCATTGGAAAGAGTTGTGTTTGTAGATAACATCCTCTCACCTCTGAAACCCAGGCTTAGCTGCCCTCACACACGTTTGCAGTCTCCCCAGATGGCGCAAAGACTTGGGGTCTGTCCACCATTAAAATTCTGAAAAGTAGCCCAGGTGACCGCACCTCCCCCAGTCTTGGAGGGTCTCAAACCCGGAGTAAACCTCACAGTCCCACTTCTGAGAGGACCTGGCCCACACCTGGTTGTTCCCTGTGGACTTTGATCACCCCTAGCTCCTAATTCTCCATTCCATCTTACTGCTCAAGAGAGGGGCCTCCTGAGCCGTACCAGGGATACAGCTGTCTGGACGAGAGACATGGAGTGTGGGATAACCAAGAACCCCAGAATCCTAAACCCGGTATACTCCTGGCTCCTCCTAGGTCCCAAGGGGAAAGGAAGGATGACTCAGTCTCAACACCACTGATAGACCTGAACCCACACCTGAGATTTTGATGAATGACTGCCTGATGCTAATCAGTTCATGTACTGTATACCAGCACTGGGTGGGATAGCCTGAAGACTGCATTTTAGAGGTGCCTACAGGTTTTTGTAGTTGGATTTTTTTTTTTTTTTGCCCCTTTCTCATATTATCAAAACTTTATGCTTTCCCTAACGGCAACAATGTGTGTATGTAGAGGAGAAAGTTCTAGAGCAAAATTTCTTTAAACATGCTATTGACATGACAGAGCTCCCAGAAATCAGGGTTCTAGAGCAGGAGAGCTGCGAGCCAGGAGGCACACCTTCCCTCTTTGCATGGTGTAAATGAGCAGGGGGAAAATACAACTTTAAACTTGTGTTTTTCATTTCCAAAAAGTTCTGATTTTCCCACACTGTCAGATGCCTATACATGAAACTTGGAAGTACATTCATTCCCTCTTGCTTCCTTGCACCAGCTTAAGGAGGCAATCGTTGTCTTCCCCTTGCCCAGAGCTGAACGCTGGGGCCCAGCAGAGCTGGGTGCCGACCTAGTGGCTTCCTCCCACACACAGAGCTCCTTCCTGCCCATTCCTAGAAAAAGGCGGGCGGGGAGGGGAGTGCTTTTCAGTCTCTTCCTCCTCTTCTGTCCCATTATCCTATCACTAGTGGTCTTTCTGAAACTCCAGAGCTACCCAGAGCATCCCTCCATCAGCAGGGAGCAATGCAGTAGGGCAAGGTGTCCTGCGTGTAGCTGGGTGGTGGTGGGTCTGATGCAATGCAGAGGAAAGCATTCTAGCCCAGAGTTAGGAAATCCAGAGTAATGCCTTGGTTCTGCTGCTTGCCGCAGGTGGGGTGCCTCGGTAACTCCCACTTTCTCCCTCTGGCTCTAGAGTTCTCATCTGTAAAGCAGAACTATTAATGCCTGTCCTGCTACTTCAGAAAATAAAATATGGTACCTGCTTCTTAATATTTTTAGTGTAAGTATGTCCCAATGATTGCATGGGACATACTTATACCATAAATTATTCCTGTTTATGTGAAATTTAAACTGAACTCCCAGGTCCTGTATTTTATCTGGCAAGCCCACTGCCCATCCTTCCAGCAGCCTTGCCTGGCCTCCTCTCAGTCCATCACCTTCCTTCTCCACCCTTAGTCGGATGAACCCCTCTCTCCTCCCCGCACCCAGAGCACTTGTGGACACTTCATCGTTGCATTTACGTGGACATTTAAAACTGTTTCCTCTGGGGTATCTACTGTTTGACTGAGAGCCTGTGGAAGGCCAGGATCTTGTCATATTTTGTCTTACATGGGCATTCCCCCTTCTGTGACTGTTCCAGGCATACAGCCAGTACCCTGTCACAAAAACAGCACTGGGATGTAGTAGAGGGAGGCAGATATGGGAAACACCCAAGCTGAGAGAGGCATTACACCTGAGCCTTGATTTTGAACTGCATTCCCCAAGAACCAAGGCAAAATGTAAGCGTGAATAACTCCCATAGCTCTCTTTGTCTGCAGGAAAGAAAAATCTTTCCTAGATCTCCATTCTAAGGGAAATGATCATGAGCGTCTTAAAGAAAGACTGTAAAGACAGGGTGGGACTTTTGTATGGGCTCTCCTCTCGTCCAAGTCCAGAGCAGACCTGGTGCACAGATGCCTCTACCGGAAGACTCACACCTCTCTCTCCCCAAGGCACACACAGAGAAGGCTGAGTTAGAAGACCGCAGGGGTGAGGGAGTCGGGGTGGGGGGGTGCGGTGGTGGTGGTGATGGATGTCTCGGCCGGTCCAGGAAGAGAGCAGAACTTCCTATAAATCCTGCATGGACACTACAGGGAACATGGAGCCCCAGGCCGCAAAGCACTTGTTGTCTGCTCTTGGTTTTGGCTCAGGTCATAATCTCAGGGTCGTGAGACGGAACCCTGTGCTGGGCTCTGGGCTCCGCGGCTCATCCACTTGAGATTCTCTCTCCCTCTCCCCCTGCCTCGCCTGCTGCTTGTGCATGCTCTCCCCACTCCCACACATAAATAGGCGACTCTCTAAAAACAGAGACTGGACGCAGAAGGCCAGGTTCCCAGAAGCCTCTGACAATACCTGGGAGCGGCGCAGGGCAAGAGAAGCTGGGAGCGGCTCTCGCCTAGTGACACCTGGTGCCAGGTCCTGACCTCAGAGCTCAAGGCTTCATGGGACGCCACAGAATAGGAGAGACAAGCCTTTAGGGACTCCTTCCCCTCTCTCCCAGGACTGCCCCAGGGAGGACAGTGGCCTAGCAGCAGGACACATTCCCCCAAGAAACCCTGGGCTTATTTACCTAACCCTTCGTGGTAGGCACACCAGACAGCTCCACCACCTTTCTCCAGAAGAACCCGGATACACCTGAGCTACTGGGGGAAGGAGCGGAGAGCGCAACGTCACACCCCTGCTCCCCATTCCGGGAGCCTCCGCCCCTGTCCAGGGCTGGCTGGGAAAGTCATCATGTCCATCATGTCGGAGCCCCCATGGGAGCAGAGCGGGGCGGCCTCCCTTCCCGCCCAGGCTTCCTCCGCTGGCTCAGGCCCAGCATCGGCCCAGTAGAGCGAGCTGTCTTCCAACTGTCTTCCCAAGGTGCACCCTTCCTGCCTCTTTACAGAAGACCCTGAGGCTCAATGGGGTGGGCCCCTCACCACCAATCCAGCCACCACCACACTCTGGTGGGGACAGACTCAGATCAGGAACACGGATCTTTGGATTTCAATTCTTGTCGACTCAGCACTAGGCTGAACTGC